TTTAAAATCTCGTAAGTCTAGCACTCAGGCCTCATCCAAGTCATTGATAAAAATGGTAACCAGTAGTGGGCCAAGCACAAATTTCTGGTACATTCTACTAAAGACCCTGTTCCAAGTGAAGAACGAACCATTGAGAATTTTTTTTTTTTTTGGTGGCTAAGCAATGGGGTTTAGTGACTTGCCCAGAGTCACATAGCTAGTGGGTGTTACGTGTCTGATGCTGGATTTGAACTCAGGTCCTCTTGACTCCAGGGCCAGTTCTCTATCCACTGCATGACCTAGCTGCCCCTACTTTTTTTATTTTTTAAATCTATCCATTCAACTAGTTCTGAATTTACTTGGCTAAATTGTTGATCAGCTCAGATCTCCCCATCTTATCTACAAAGATGATGCAGCATGAGAGAATCTGTTAAATGCTTTGATAAAATGTAGGTAAATTATAGTAGGACACTTCCTTGAGCTACCAATAGATAGCACCTGCCAAAAAAGGAAATGAATGAATGAATGAATTAAGTGTCTTGAGTAGACTGGCACTGTTAGTAGGTGTCTGAGGTGGATTTGTCTTTAACACTCTATCCATTGCTGGACCTGGTTTCTTAGGCATTAGGTATTAAGCTTGAATAACCTTGGACTAGAGCAAACCAGTACTTTAAATAGCCTGGTTACTCTGTACTGTGGTTTAGAGTACTCTAAACAATCTGATTATTGAATGTATTTTTGTAACATCTTTAGACATAATTGTGGGAGACAAGTGTCATGATTATTTTTTTCCAGGCACCCAAAGGCCTAGAAAGTGTAGCGGACTTATGAAACAAAAGAAAGATAATCTGGTAGTATTAGAATCCAGAAGATTCCAAGACCTAACATGTTCTTATAAGGTCATGCTGTCTGTTGGTTACTTACTTCTCTTACTTCTCTGATAACCCCAGATACTGATTTTGGTGGAATTCATATGATTTCTTTATATTTTTGACTATAGAAAACAGTGGTAAAGCTTTCCCTGAATGGAGGGTTGAATTGCAAAACTAAGAAACTGCACATTCTGATTGATTAAAGATGTAAGTTCCAGCAACAGTTGCTAATGATGCCTCTTCACGAAGGTAGTATCCCTCTGATGCAGTTAAATTGACCATGGCCTTGTGGACAGGAGATTTTTAACTATCTTCCTAATGGAATATGGTGATTTCCTGGATTGATTGGCTGGATAGTGGTCTGATTTCTTTATGAAGAGAAGACTGAAGTAAACTTATTCATGGTGATGTATTCTGATTATCTTGGTTATACAGATGGGAAATCTTGAATGCCAGGCTAATGTGTTGGGACTCTATTCATTAGGCAATGGGGAGCCACTGAAATTTTTAGAGTAATATCATAAGAATGGTGATTTAGGCAAATTATTGTTTCAATGAAGTGTGGAATAGATTAGGGAGAGACTGGAGGTATGAGGAGACTGATTAAAGGCTATTACAGTAGTCTAGGCCATTGTAACAATGGACTAAACTACCAGCATTGGGTGTGGAAAGATGATCAATGTAGGGCACATTTCTTTTTATTTTATTAATCTTTTTTTACTTATACATAAACATTTGTATTTTCTTCATTTCCAAATTTATTACTCCCCTTCTCCTGCCCAGAAAGCCACTCCTTATCACCAAGATTTTTTTAAATTTAAAAAAAAGAGCAATTCAGCAAAACTAACACATCAACCAAGTCTGACAATATATGCAAAGTTCTACATCCATGGTCCGCTATTTCTGCAAAGACGAACATTTAACATTCAACATTATCATAATTGCAGAATGTTCAGGTTTTGGGTCGTTATTCCTGCTATTTCTGTGGGGAGTCACCAGGTATGTTCTCATTCTGCTCTACTCATTTTACTCTGTATCAATTAATATATTTTCCCATGCTTCTCTGAATTCTTTATATTTATCGTTTTTACATTTCACTATTACTTAATTACGTTCATTCACCACCATTATTTAGCCATTTACCAAATCTATGGGCATCTACTTTGTTTCTACTTGTTAGAGGCATATCTGTTATCCAAATGGCAGAAATCTGGTTGGATTTTTGAGATGCTTTTAAATTACCTCGTGACCTAGTTGCTCATTTTATACTGTTTCTTCTAATTTCTCTTGCTGTTTTTATTTATGCAGTCTAATTGTACTAAGATGAGGATCCTGGCTAAAATTTCACTCCAGATGTTACATATAAATACACAAATTAAAATAGATTGATTTGCAACATAAATTGTAACGTATATGTGTATACATATATTTATATGATTTATTCTGTTTGAGTAATACAATTGATAATTTTTTTCTTTGATGTCTCCATTCAGGCTGTTCTAGCCACTTTTTCCTTATTCCTGATTTTTAGGCCTGGATTATAATGAGCAGTGAGACTATAAGCAGGTAAATGTATGTCTATAATTATTCTTGTCTTGGAGATTGGAATCAATAAATAAGGGGACATATTCTCTTTCATTTTCTCTCTGCAGGAAGAACTACACATGTGTCTTTGATAAATGTTATCTGTTTTCTAGGACACAATAAAGATTTTTATCAAACTCAAAGAATCATAATTCTCTCACATTTTATCTGTGTCTCTTTGTGCCTATTTCCCATTGGCATTTTTTAGTACCCTACCCCATGACATAGTCCTTGCAACATCAATGAATTTAATGGGTGTTCTTGTAAAAGGAGCAGACTGATCTGTTGACATAACTGCTAGATTAGGTCATGTTCTCCTGTTTAGCTTCTCTGGTTATGCAGAGAAGTCCCTTTGGTTGCATGTCCTTGATGAAGGAATTCATTAATTCACCAAAAAAGATAACAATCTGACCTTTTCGGCACTATGTTAGACAAAATAACTAAAGAAGACAATAGTGGAAAGAAGATTGGAGTTACGACCTGGGTTCAAATCCAATCTGTGCCAGTTAGTACCTGTATAAAAATGGGCAAGTCTCTGAATCTCTTTGCACCTAAATTTCTCAAATAACAGGGCTTCACTAGATGGCCTCTGATGTCCCTTCCAGTTCTGGATCTAAAATCATATGATCATAAGGATCTACGATGTCTCTTCTGGGAGTCATTTAGGAAATGAGAAGTATGGCATAGTGGAGAGTAGATTTAGTTCAGAATCAGCAAGACCTTGGCTCAAGTCCTGACCCAGACATATATTAGTTGTTTGAAAATGGGAAAGTCAGTTAACCTCTGAGTGCCCCAGGCAAGTCTCTAGGGCTATATCTTGGACTCTTAGAGTTGTCAATCTGCATTGGTGGTGAGAGTTTTCATACGGGGTTAGAGAGACTCCACAGACATGAAATCATAGATCTGAATCAAAAGAAAACAACATGTAAAAAACAAAATGATTGTATTTTCACTTTTCACTTTTCAATGTTTTTTTCCCTAATGTCACTGAAGATGATCACTAAAGTGGTATATATATGTATATATGTATATATATGTGTATATATGTGTGTGTGTGTGTGTGTGTGTGTATGTATATATATACACACACACACACATATATATATGTGATATCCTCTTTGGGCCACATTTAGTGTTTGAAAAATTGGAGAACTAATGCATTCTTTCTTCCTGTATCATAATTATATGAAAATCAATAATCAAGTTATGCCCCTTTAAAGACATATCTACTGTAAGTTAATTTTATCACTATCAAGTTCTATAATGGACTATAAACTTTAAGGATAATCAAGTTATATTCTGAACAAGCAAGCTTTCTTTTCTGTCCCCTTTTTTTTTCTCCTTCTTTTGTCCCCTCACCAAAACTCCTGGTGAGCTTTTATATATCAACCAATGAATCTGTGTGGTGTTTTCACAGAAATTCCAGGAGAATTTTTGGAAATAAATTAGAATGTGACCAGTCTAGAGAAGGACCTTGAGAATTGATGTAGGATGGAGAAAATATTTATAAAGAACATGTCATGGAAAATCTTCATGTGGAATGGCATTATTACCACTAGATATAAGTTGCTGTTGATTTTCTTGTCTTTGGGTAGCATGCTGAATCAGGTCAACATTCTGTATGCTTGGAAGGATATAGCTGCAGGTTAGTAGTTTTCCATTTTGAAAGTATGCTTTGGCTCTTTTAAGAAGATGGCTCAGGTTTAAAGAAGGAGAACAGTCAGTTGTGGTCTGCCCAGGTTTCCCTGCTTCTCCAAAGATTTCCTCTGCAGTGACTATATTTGGAAGCTGCCCTGGAGCAACAGGTCAATTTAACTCAACTGGTGAGTCTATGATAACTGGATAATTTAAATACATCCTTGGCTGTGAAAGTCAAAGGCTTGTTTAAATGGTGCAGACATCATACTAGGTATTAGATTTATGGGTCTATAGTCTTAATCCCAGACCACGGCATATGTCCCATTCCTACCGGAAAGTGGGTTATTATCCCTAACACCATCTAGAAAATGTTGAAAACCCCAAAACAGTAAGGAGGGGAATTCTGGCTATTTTCATGTCTTAGAGGATTGATAAACTAGATTTTGATGACTCATTTTCTTGATATAACCAGAATCACATGAAGGAATTAAAACATCTCTGGCATTACATAGTAGAGAGTGTCTTATTAGCTGCAGAGATCTTCTTAATGCCACTAGGAAACTCATACCAATATGGAAGTCAGAAGACTAAAATAACAACAATAGTTCTTTGCAGTCACATGGCGTCTTTCATCTGAAGAACTCAAAGCACTTAACAGATGTTATACCCATTAAAATGATGTGGCAAGCATTATTCTCCCTAGAATACAGATGGGGAGGAGGCGGGGACCATACCACTGTCATTCAGACTAAAACTGGATTAAACATATAATTATCTTTGAGAGGAAATCTTTCTAGCGTAACCCTTTCCTTCTGCAGTTTCTTATTCCCACTGAGTGAATGGGACAGGTCACATCCTTCAGGCTGGTATATCTACTGCAGGTATCCAAACATTGTAATGAAATCACCTCCCTTTCTTTATTCCCAGACGAAACATATTTAACTTTGAAGTGCCTTCTTCAGAAGATAGAGCTTCTCTTCCTTTTCTTGTCCCCTGCTATTTCACTAAAACCTGGATGTAGTTTTCAAGGTGAGTAACTAAAAACAGGTAACTAAAAACCAAAAACTAAGATTTAGTGCAAATTTACCCAGGACCTTACCTTGGTCTTCTTTCTGTCTTTCAGCATCAAAGGCTTTAGTTTTCTTTCCCTTCCCCATTCTGTATTTTGTAGGATTATAGATGTAAAACTGAGGCTTAGAAAAGTAAAGTGAATTGCCCAAGATTACATAGCTAATTGGTCAGGATTTGAACTCAGGTCTTTCTAAGTCTCATGCTTTATCCACTGTATTCCCTAGCTTCCTTCGATCTGGGTTACATTTTTGTTCTTTAAAATGTTAATTTTGGGGGGCAGCTAGGTGGTTCAGTGGATAGAGCACCGGCCCTGAAGTCAGGAGGACCTGAGTTCAAATTCGGCCTCAGACCAAACACTTGACACTCACTAGCTGTGTGACTCTGGGCAAGTTACTTAACCCCAATTGCCTAAAAGCAAAAATAAATAAATAAATAAAATTTTAATTTTGTTTGTGCCTTTTTTTTATAAGCCTTTTACTATCCAGTCATTTCCAAATTATGCCATCTATATTATTGTTCCTGGGACCCTGGACTCTGACAGGTGAGCTTTTATCTTATCTTCCATAGAACCAGGGCACCATGCCACTTTTGGCCATCTCCAAACCGTGTTGCTATAGGCATTCCTTCCCTGCTCCTAACTTCCCCTTTATTCTGCTTCAGTTCTGGTCTTCTGTTAGGGTTATCTTCCTGAAGCTGTTAGGGTAAGCTTTCTGAAGAGTAGAACTATCTTGCTTGTTTTATTTGTGTCTCTAGCATATAGTAAAATATCTGATACATACTGGGGTATCTAGATAGTGCAGTGGATAGAGTACTGAGTCTGGAATCAGGAGGACTCTTTTTCCTTTGTTCAACTGCGGCCTCAGACACTTACTAGCTGTGTGACTCTAGGCAAGCCACTTAACCTTGTGTGCCTCAGTTTCCTCATCTGCAAAATGAGCTGGAGAAGGAAATGGCAAACCACTCCATTATCTTTGCCAAGAAATCCCAATTGGGGTTACCAAGAGTTGGACGTGACTGAAAAATGACTGAACAATTGATACAGAGAAATGATTTTTTATTCATTAATTAAAAATACATCCCTCCTCCCCTGTTTTACCCAGCCAGCCCACTCTTGTAACAAAGATTAAAAAAAAAAAGAGAAAAAAAAGAAATTCATTAAAACTAACCAATACATTAACTATATCTTCCATTATGTAAGTGTTCCATGCCCAGTGTCCCACCCTTGTGATGAAAGCAGTGAGGTTACTTTTCTCATCTCTTCTCAGCAAATCCTAGTCACATTTAGCTTTTTTAATATTGTTCTTCCTGTTTACATTGTTATAGTCATTGTGTATATTGTTTTCCTAGGTCTGATTAAATCTTTCCCTGCTTCTCTGAATTCTTTTATACTCCTTGTTTTTTATGATGCAGTAGTATTCATGTATCACAATTTGTTTGGTCATTTCCTAGTTAAGAGATACCAATTTGTTTCCAGGGCTTTGCCACCACAAAAAGAGCTTCTGTGATTATTTTTATGTATAAAGGACTTTTCTTTCTGTCTTTGACTTCTTTGGGGCATATGCTGAGCAGTTAGATGTCTAAGTTAGAGGGTAAGAACAGTTCAGTCATTTTTTAAAGCGTAATTTCAAATTGCTTTCCAGAAAAGGTTAGACTAATTCACAACTTTAACATATTCTCGTTTTTCCTTAAACTCCAACATTGACAATTTTTGCCTTTTATTATCTTTGATAATTTGTTGGTTCTGAAGTAAACCCCTATTGATTTGTGTTTATTTTATTATTAGTGATTTGGTATAATCTTTCATAAGGTTAATAGTTGGCAATTTTTGTTTTGAGAATTGTTTATTCATATCCTTTGACTATGTATCCTTTGGGAAATAGCTATTGGTCTTACATATTTGTGTTACTTCTCATTATCTCTTGGATATCAGATCCTTACCAGACAGATTAGATGCAAAGATTTTTTCCCCTCAATCAGCAGTTTTCCTTCTTATCCAAACTGCTTTGATTTTATTTGTGCAAAATCTGTTCAAGTTCCTACAATGAGATTATCTACTTGATTTTTTGGTGAGCTTTTCTATGCATTGTCTGGTTAAGAATTTCCGAGATTACCATCTAAAGGAAAGACATTATATAAATCTAACCTAAAATAGAAATAGTGATGTCAAAATAATAATCCAAATAACAACAAACCCCAGGGTTTATAAAGACCTTTCTATTGTTAACCCTTTCTAAAGGATGGAAAGGCTGAACCACAGGAAAGTGAAGGTCATCCAGTGACAGTTTACTTTTCTGTGATATCAAACACCTGATTCTTTGGAAGAAATCAGAGAAAGGGATTGCATCCTTCAGCTTTTCTCTTCAATCTTGGCATTTTGTAGCTAGAGCTAGTGAGTTATTAGAAGACCTAAGAATAAAATGAAATCTCTTGCCTTCCAACTCAGTGCCATATCCTTTTGAATCTGATGCCAAAACTGAGAAAAGAATAAATTGTTTTAAGAGCTATTCGAGCATTCCCTGGCATTAATATTTACTACCTTCCCAAGTCACATTTCACCTACAGTTTTTATGATCAGTCATCAAGACAGAAGGGAAAAGTGCAGTGATTCTTACCTGACACCTGATCCACAGAGAATTTTTAGTAGTCCACACACATTTTTACCAATGGCTCTTCTCAAAACTTAAGAAAACTGATTCTCCGTTCTCTGGGCTTCTTGCTTTTATATATTGTGCCATGGACTTCACCTTATTCTGTTATATATATATCTTTCCCCCCTCGTATCCAGTCTGTTCCAGTAACTAAAAACCATAAAGCTAAGGCTTTGGGGGGGGAGGGGAGGGACAACGGTCTTTGGGAAATGAAGCATATTTTCAATGTAGTTTAGGATGGGAAAAACTGCCTTAATGGCAGAAGTCCTGAACTAGGAGTGATGAGATTCGGCTTCTAGTCGTGGGGCCCAAGTTTCCATTTAGAATGAAATATAAACTTCTCAGCTTGGCCTTTAAAACCCTCTCGAAATCTGGCTTCAGACTACCTTTCCAGACTCATTTCACTTTATTCATCTGAATACTCTCTACATTCTAGTGAAAGTGGCTCATTAGCTCTTTCCTGAACTTGGCATTCAATCTCCTACCTCTGGACTTTAGCACAAACTGTACCTCATGCCTGCAATGCACTCCCTCCTCACCCCTGCCTCTTTGAATCTAGTCAATTTTCTAGTCAATCTAGTCAATGAAGTGTTGATGATGTGCCAACTCACAGGGCTAATCACATCCTTCAAGAGCCTGCCTTCAAGGCTTAGCTCTTGCGCCATTTTCTGAAGGGAGCCTTCCCTGATTCCTCTAGTTGTTAATATTCACTCTCACCTCTTCAAGTGATCATTTTTTGCATATCCGTTCACATGTTGTATTTCCCCCAGTACAGGCAGCTAGGTGGCACAGTCAATAGAGCACTGGGCCTGGAGTTGAGAAGACTTGATTTCAAAGCCAGCCTCAAATGCTTACCAGCTGAGCTCAGCTGACTCAAGCTTTATCCTGGATGAACATCCTTCCCCTACTCTGAATATCCTTTCTTTGCTATGACTAAATCTCCTTTTGTTAACTGTTAGATGGATTACAAGTGTCTCATTTTGTTCCATTTTCAGACCTCAACCACCAGAAGACCAATTCGCAGCCCATAACCTAAAGAGGTGGTCGTCATCAAGAAAAGACCAGTATGGAGAGAAAAATACAATGTCCATCAGTATACTAGCCTTGTTTTTGATAGGAGCTGAAAGCAGGATTGATTGGGGTAATAATGGAATGAATTGTGGTACATAAATTTAATGGAATATCACTGCGTTCTCAGGAACGATGAATAGGAAGGATTCAGGGAAACATAGGAAGAGTTGTATGAAGTGATTACAGAGTAAAGACAGCAGAACTGAGAGGGCCACAAACTCAAGGACTACAATAATGCAAACAAAGTCAACACGGCTAGACAGGCAAAACTCTAGTTAAATATAACATTGCATGGTAGGGCTGTCCTGACAGAGTTGGTGAATTCTCCCCCTTTCTAGTAATAATGACATATTGTTTTGAGGGAATGTACTTAGCAAGAGGCTTTGTTTAGGTATTTGTTGAGAAATATCTGCTCTGTTTTTGCTTTCTAAACAAAATATAGCAATAAATTTAACAGAATCCCTGGCAAGTGATTGTCTTGTCTTGGTACCATTGGCAAACATGACGTATCTCCTTGATACAAAATGATGAGGGGTGGGAAGGAGAGAAGGGGGAAGAGGGACCAGGGAAACCATCATACATTGAAGGGGGTGAGGTAGGGAAGTGTTTAAATTTAATCGTAGTAATGAATTGACTCACGTTCAAGTCAAATGGCCAAACAGTTTGATGCAACCTTAGACTGCATGTCACTAATGATATATTAAGAAAGAATGGCCCTCTCCCTGATCCCTGTAAAACTGAATTTATTATTCAGTTCCATGAGGATTCTTGGCCGCAAACTATAAATCTAACTTTTTCCTGCTGTTCAATTTCAAATTCTCTCACAGGCTAAGATTGTGTTTAGTAAGAGCCTATGTTCCCTTCTGACTCTAAGAGTCAGAATTCTGTGATTCTTCTGATGTGTCTTAACTTACGCATTCAGTCTGATTCTCCTTTTTCCCCCCTTTGCTGTTAATGTTCATTCATTCATTCGTTCGTTCAACAAACATTTACCAAGTTCCTACTGTATGGAGAGCATTGTTTTTGGTGATAGGGAGATACAAAGGAAATAACCAGCCTTACCCTTTTGGAGCTTGCAGCCTGGTAGGGGGATGAGACACAAACACAGATAAATATAATACACAACAGAGAGGAACTGATTGGGTGATTTCATTGGTATTGGAAACTCCCCAAACTCTCTCTACCAATGCAGGTCAGCACCTTCTCTTTGACACAGTTTTAGAAAGTTGCCTAGAGTGGGTTTTACACACACACACACACACACACACACACACACACACACACACACACAGAATATATATTAGAGACAGAACTCAAACCCAGGTCTTGCCAACTCAAAGGCCACGCTGTATCCGCTGTGCAACACTGTCTCTCATACATCTCATGCTCAGTATCATAGCTATAATGTACAATCTACACATTGCCAAAGAAACGGATGCTGTTGACTCTGCATTTCAAGCTTTCTGTAGCATGCCTTCAATCTACTTTTTCAGTCTTATCATCATCATCCCATATTAGTCCTATATCTCTCCTCTTCACAATTTGTCCTTTTTCTCTATTGGATCCCCATTTGTCTGGACTCTTTCTTGCCACTGGATTCTGATGACTCCAAAGGAGAGAGTCAAGCTGATGACTTTGTGCAGCTCTGCCTCACTTCAATCCAGTTCTCAGGCAAGTCAAGATGTCACTCTCATGATGTCAATGATCCTCTGACAATGAAGGACAAACAACACCATCCACAATTAGCTGTTCCCCACACAACACTTTATGAACCATCTCTACACAATTACACATGCAATTCCTAGGAATAGAGTGCCAGGCTCAGAGTTAGGAAAACCTGAGTTCAAATCCAGCCTCAGACACTTACTGACTATGTGACCCTAGGTAAGCTAATTAATTGCTGTCTGCCTCAGTTTCCTCAACTGTTAAATGAATATAATAATAGAACTTACCTCAAAGGGTTGTTGTGAGGATCAAATAAGATAATATTTGCAAAGTGCTTAGCACAGATAGCACCTGGCACATAGTAGGCTCTATATAAATGCATATTCCTTTCCATTCTTCAATTCTTTCCTTCATGGCTTAGCTCCAGGCCTTCTGCTCTTTAAGCCTCCCCTGAATCTCCACCATGGTTAATGTTCTTTTCTTCCTCAAACTGCCTTGCATTTATCTCTGCATTCATCTCTACCTATATTTGTATTAAATCCTTCCGTTAGAATGTAAGCTCCCCAAGGGCAGGTATCGTTTTCCTTTTTCGCCTTTGCATTCCTAGTTCTTAGTCTGGTGTGTCTTGCTTAGCACTTAGCTGAAGTTTGCTGTATTAAGAATGAACTTTTAGCAAAACTTTCTCCTCAGGCAGATCTTTGCCCCACTGCTTTAAGATGGGACTCTATTCTCTTATCAACATGCTCTGATATTTCTGTAGGAGGAAATGAACCTCAGTCACATGACAGTGAATTTTTTTAAAAAATTGCCCGAAGAAGCCATAGACCATCGAAAATTACTACTAAGCCATGCAAATGTTTCCCAGTGGGGGTAGGGGTGGGTGAGGGAATCTCTGCCTAACACCATAAATCTCAAGATCTGCCCGAGGAAGATTAAACATACTGTCATTTCCCCCTCTTTATTGGTTGTTTACATTTACTTGACAGAGACTTATTAAGAGCCTCCGCTATGTAATCCACTGATCTAGGTGGTAGGGGAAAGGCCTCTGCCCTCATTAAGTTTATGATCCAGAAGGGAAGATAAGACAAGACATATGGATCGTAGATCATAGATTTAGGGCTGGGAAGGACCTTCGAGGTTATCTAAACCAATCTCCCTATTTTACGGATGACAGAATGTACCCTCAAAGTTTATATGATATTCCCAAGGCCCACAGGTGGCGGAGCTGAGATCAGAGACAGGTCCGCTGTCTCCAAATCCAGAAGATTTTATACTCAGATACGAAGTTCAGTTAGCAAAACAAGAGTATGAAGTGCTTTGAGATCGTATGAGGGAGTGATACTTTTCAGTTAGCTGTGTCTGTATGTGTATGTGTGTGTATGTGTGTGTATGTGTGTGTATGCATATATATGTGTTTGTATTTGGGGGATATAAGAAAAGGCTTCTAGAACATTGTATTTGAGTAGATGCCTAGGAACATTACCAGGCCAAGACTAGAGGAGGACTCTAAGGTGGAGAGTGAAAGCAGAGGGGAGGGAAAGTTTGAGAAAAATGCTTTCATGAAGTATAATGAAGGCATATTTGTTTTCTTGCTCCAAAAATTCAGGGCTAAACACATTGTCAGGAATGTCCCCTACTAGCTATGAAATCCTGCATTATAAACAGTGGGATTCCCCCAAGAGGGAGAGGGGACATCATCAGGAGAATGGGAAGACAGACCAGGGGAGTAAAGAGATGAAGAGAATATGAAACAAGCCTGAGAAGAAATAGACATTCCATGGCAGGGATGATTCACGTTGTCAGCACCTCCTTTTTCAGCACCGTCTCCTGTCCTCTGCCTATGTGCTGGCCCCAACATTTTCCAGGTCAGATCATTGCTCTGAAATAATGCTGTCTTGGCTCTTTCCCTTACCTTCCTCTCCCAGTCCCTAAAGAGAATTGAAATCAGCACTCATAGCTGGGTAAGTCTGTTAACCACAGGCAGGCTTTGGTTGCAACTAAGTTAAGAAACTGCCCGCTGCCTGCTCCCCCAACTATTTCTACATTGTTTCGGATGTAAAAGTAATTTAGTGTCTCAGAACTCAACTTCACCTACCTGAAACACCACGGACTGGTTCTGGCGCACATTTCTTGCTGAATCAGACCAGTTCTGTTGTTAAGAAAGCAGGGCTCACGCCCAGTGAATCACTCTTTATTTTTCCTGAGCTGGGGGATGGCACATGCCAAAGTCCTGACTGCAGGTTGCATTGTTGGTTGAAACACTTCGACAGGAGATCACAGCATCTCAGAGTCTCATAGTAATTATTATCATGACAAAGCTCTAATCTGATGTTAAATGTTGCAGAAAATCATCAAGAATTACATTGTCTTGCCTGATAGCTTTGTGATCTGAATTATGCCAGTGGGCCAGATTAGAAAACTCAGGGAAAGGATGGGTTCTGCTTGGGCAAAGATAGGCTCTCACATCTGGAAGACACTCAGAGAAGCTGAATTCATCTCCATTAAAGCTAATTGATTTATTTTTAAAATGTTTAAAAATTTTTAATGGTCACTTTTGTTTTGATATCACCTTAATTTTTAAATGTATCTTCTCTTACTCCCCAGAAAATCATCCCTTGTGACAAAGATTTGAGAGAGACCGAGACAGAAAGACAGAGATAGAGAGAGACAGAGACAGAGGAAGAGAGAGAGAGAGACAGAAACAGAGAGACGGAGGGAAAGAGATAGAGGGGGGGAAGAGAGAGAGGGAGCAAGAGAGAGGGACGAAGAGACAGACCTACAGAGAGGAAGAGAAAGAAGGGGGGGAGAGAAAGAGTTTAACAAAATTAACCAACCCATCAACTGAGTCCGAAAAGTATTTGCAATGTTCTGCACCCATATTTCCCCACTTCTGCGAAGAAAACGGTGTAGGAGTATTCTAGACAGCTAAGAATTCATGAAGATTCAAAAGATTGGCGACTACTAGAGATGTGAGAGCCAGAGTCCATGCTAGAGTTTGTAGCCAGCGGAGCCCAGTCTGCCAGCATAGCCTCCAGGACTGACTGGGACCCAACCCAGTGTTTTCTGAAGGCTTTTTCAGGGCCAGGCTTGGTTATTATAATTAAACAGCATTCAGCTCAATTAGCAAAGCTAATTTAAAGAAATAGTCTCCTCTCTGTTCTTCACACATGACATTTGGTCTCCTCTCTCTGTGACTTTACATTGGCCCTTCCCCATGCCTTGAACGTCCTCCTTCCTTATCTCTGCCTCAGACTCCCCCTCTTCCTTAAAGAAGAGGCTCAGACACCATCTTCTATATGAAGACTTTCTTGACCTACCTCTTCTCCTCACCTCCACTTCTACTGACCTCCCTCCCAAACTACCTTGTATTGAACTACACACACACGCGTGCACACACACACAATCACAGTATATATTATATATACAAAGATACATTTGTATTTATTAAATTTTTATTTAAGCTCTCTTTGTCTCTGTCTCTTGTCTCTGTCTCTTCTCTCTCTCTCTCTCTCTCTCTCTCTCTCTCTCTCTCTCTCTCTCTCTCTCTCTCTCTCTCTCTCTCTTTCTCTGATATATATACCTACTTGTTTTCCCCATTAGAATGTAAGCTCATTGCAACTAGGAATATTGTCATTCTTTGTACAAGTATCCCTAGCACTTAGCACAGTGCCTGGTACATAGCAGATGCTTAAAACCTTGTTCATTGATTAAAAGAAGAAAACTTTACGGGATTCCTTTCTATAATGCCTGAATCTCCTTGTGACTTACATAGGCATAGATCTTCTGATATAATTGTTACATAAGTATA